TCAGCTTAGTTGCTGCAGAGAAGGCCTATCTCATTATAATATTGTCTAAAATAGATATCTAAACATACATCATTTCTTAGGTCACCAAAAACAACCTAAAAATATTCAGCATTAGCTAACACATACCATACTTAGATTAGCAAAAATACAGATGAAATGACTATTAACATACTGTCTGTCTCTGTAAAGAAGGAATCAGGATCCTCCTTCTCCCCTCAGAGGGGAAACCATTTCAAAGCTCCAGAGCAGTTATCAGGTAATCATAATCACACATTTCCAGAGGCAAAGCAGGAAGACCATAAGGGCATATAACCATTCTTTTCCTGCCACAGAACCTCAAAGAGAAACACAGGAAACCTAAAACATAAAGATGAGGCCAAACCACCTTCAGATCCATCTAGCCTCCACATTAGCAACGGGCAAATCAAACCTGTTGATTCATGGGAAGGAAATGGATGATCCCTCTAGCTGCTCAAGAAAATGAAAAACTAGAGTTTCAAGCCTTCTCTAAATGCTCTGTTCAGGAACCTTCTGAGGTTCCCTCTCTGCCTTTTCCCATTATGCTGGAAAGCTATCAAGATACCAAAATCAGAATTTAGAAGTGCTGGAATCAGACCAAGTTAGCCACATCACTTGAGCATGTATGGACAAGTGGTTTTCATCTGGTCCATCATCAGAAGTGTTTATTACAAACTGCATTCTATTTCTCAAGAACTCTCCAGCCTGTTGCTAAGATGTGACTTAAAGAAGTCCTCCCCCATCGCAATAACTTGTCAGTGATTGTTTCACATATTTTTTTAAAAAAGATATCCATGCCTCCCTTTTCTTTGCAACTTTCATTGCCTATCAGAGTCTCAGATCCCCAAGAATTTTGTGTTCTCCAAAATCATAAAAAATTCTTCAGCAGTTTTTCCAATGACTGTCCAAGCTGCTTCTCAGCCCATTGGAAACTCTTTGCTAAGATGCTGCTTTTCCCTTGTCTGGAACAAATTCCTAGGCAGATGGACCATCCAATATCTAAGAATAACTCCTTTAACTATCAATAGAGACAAAGAGATTCAGTTGCACTGTTCCCATGGGATTTCTTTGAGTTTGGACACATCTGTTAAGATGCATACATCAGAGTCTGAATGAAGTTTTTGTCTGATTGTATCTCTTAGCATTTGTGAAAGTTTCTGCCAAAATGATCTTATCTCTTGGCACTTGCAAAACATATATAGTGATAGATGCTTTCTAAAGGGCTCCTGAAATAAGTGGCCTATACAGACCAAAACAGTTTAAACAGAGAGCCAAGTCCTGGTGGACTGATTTTCCTCTCAGGAAAATCTTCAAAAGCTTTACCTGAGGGAGTTCAGCCTTCAGATCTAGGACAGTACCAAGTTTATGCATGCTCTGCCCACAAGCAAGAAAGAGCATGGAAAGTTGCAAACGACACCACTCTCGTATATGTGGCTTCTTTGTAACCTTTCCAGAACCCTTTCCTCCCTTCTTTACTTGTCTTTGTAGTTTTTTGCAAGAACACCTTTCTTCTGAGCAAGCAGCTACATCTGTCTGTGACAGCTGAGTAGCTAGAGGTATTTGGAGCTCTATCAGCTCAGTCTATGATTTGATTCCAGATTAATTCAAAGTGGTGATTTCTGTCTGCCAAGTCCCACATGGAAATAGTTACCTCAGGAAGTACCTCTTCCTGTGACCTCTTTCTACAACTGCATTGCCTGACCATTCATTTCCCAAGAATGAAAAAGCTGGGAATGGACACAATGTCTCCCGAGTTCTGGATTTTGCTTCAAGGGTTCAGCTGCACTGAAAAAATATTACAATTAAATCCAAAGTCCTAAAATGGTCAGAAACAATCCTGTTTCATTGTGAAGAGGTAGTACAAGAGGCAGCATGCAGAATATACTGCCTTAAGCTCTATATTTTATTGTGTATCACATATGACTTTTACATATATATATATTTTTCCCCACTAAGAATTCAATTCAGTAAGACTGGCATTCAGTCTGTTGCTTAGGCTTTCTTCACCTCTGCCTTTACGGCTGAGGAGCAGATGGCTATCACAGAGTTTTTATTTCCTATGCTTGGAAAAAGTATTTTGGTCTGAATCATTCCAAAAGCACCCTGATTTTTCAAAGTAGACTGGCTTATGAATATTTCTCATAATAAATGTGGTGTTTTCTGCCAAGCACTAGTGATTGTGCATGCAAAATGGCCAGTGAAGATCTCAAGCTGATTTGAATAGGTGGTCCATAAAATCAAAGACTTTTTTCCAGATACATAAATGAGGACTTACAGAGCCATCTGGACATCAGTACACTTTTCCAAGAATGGAAATACCCTACATGCTGACTTTTTCTGGATGTTTTTGATATTTTGCATGAAACAATTCCTGTCAAACATTTTGTCTAATTCCAATTTATAAATAGAATATTAGCTATCCTCTAGAAAACATCCCACCAGAGTAAAAAGTGTCCATTTGAGAATGAAATACAATCTGCTCAGTCACAAGGGTAGAGGCTGTATAGTGATCTGGGCAAAAGGGACAAGAAACAGTGCTGTACTGTCAAGAAGGCATAGGGAAGAACAGGAAGTGCTGCTGGCCCAAAGAAAGAAGACGTAATTGCAGGTCCAATAGCTGAGGAGAAAAAGAGAGGTGTGGCAACATAATTCTGAGGGCAAAAGGAGGGATCTAGTGTGAGAGGAAAGAACCAGTCCAAAAGTCAGGGAAGGGAAGAGGTAAAGGGAACTACAGACGCCAATCGCTTGGGTCAGTCAATGTGTTCTAGCAGTAGGGACTGAAACAACCTCTAAAAAAATACGTATACCATGTTAAACAGCTGTAGTAAATATGCAAGCATAAATCCATCCTGCCTCATTTTATTTTCATGTCAGAAACTGGCATTGATATTTTGCAAGAACATGCCAAACATTAATTATAGGCATACCGCCCCAAACAAATACAGCCTGATGAAGGTTATAACCCATCATAAATAGCGAGAGAGCTTTTCCAACCGTTTCAAAGCACAAGGAATCAACTAACAGATCAACACCATAAGAGGTTTTTCGCATTTCTTGAATTTTTGTAGGACTCTAACTGTATTTTGGGAACCTGATTTCAACAGCTTCCGAGATAGAACAATTTTAATGCTGAAAATACTATTAAACATCCTTTTTCAAAAACTGACTTCCACGTGAAAGGAACATCTAGTCTAGGTTTGAAGATTCTCTTTCCAATTGACACTGTGAATTTAGCAGGAGTGGGAGGTGATTTGTGAACATTAAAATCTTGGGTGTCTAAAGGTCTGCTTGTCCATGAAACAAGAGTACGAAGAGTTGCATGCTCCACCTCTTCATGGTGCCCTTCACCAATTTTCCTCACCCCTGCATTTGGCCACCTCAGTGAGCAAAAGCAGTTCATTCTCTGAGTTCTCTACAATTCCTGCTGGCCTCTGTCCTAAGGTTACTTTCATGGGTTTCTATTTGTACTGTCAAAAACCATCAGTGTGAGGTTTCAAATCCCATTTACTAATGAACTCTTTCATCTTTGTGAATGGGATAAAGAGATTCTTTGTTTGAAAATAAGGATTATTTTTTCTTGTTGTTCTGCTCATTTTCGTATCTTCTTACATGACTTTTGTTTTTAGAAAACATTACAAGACAAAACTGTATCCCAGCTTTGACAAAGTGTTTGACATCACCAATTTGAAGAGAATTCTTATATATACCAAATTGCATCCTGCCTGCTGTTCAACTGCTTCACACTTCTTTCTTCTCCTCAGATCACTAGGTGAGATTTAGGAAATTCTCCCCAATGTTTTTATCAGTTCTACTAAAATCAAGATCTCCAGAAGAAGCTCATAATGAATACAGTCAGAAGCCAGCAGGAATGAATTGCAGCTAAAGTGATTTTGATAGTGATGATCCCTATAACCCAGCTGCTTCCAAGCTTGGCCTTGAGGCAAGATTTTTAAATTTAACAAGAAAAAAGAATATACATACTTTTTAATCTGATTTTTTATTGTCATGCCCTGATTTTTTTATAGGCCTTTGAAAAGTCTGATTGGCTTCTGAGCTCTTGAAACCCGGCATCACCATTTTCCTATGATTCTATGATTCCTTTTCCTTTCTTCCCCCTTGTAAGTTTTACAGTGTCCTAAAACCACCACAAAAGAGTTTAGCTGTGTTTTATATAACTAGTCAATGATAGGGTTAACAACACCCTCCATGTTCCTTCCCAAGAGACTTTCAGGTATGGACCACTGTGAAATGACACAGTTAGAACACCTGACAGGCTAAGTGCTGACATTCCAGAATCCAGTTTTAATCATTTCCTCTTTTCTGGGGGGAAGAGAGGGGCAGAGGGAAGAGGGCTGGAAGTGGGGAAGAGGAGGGAGGAAGAACAAATGAACATTTTAAAAAAAGCTGATTAACGCGTGCTGAGTAATCTGAAAGTGAATGCACTGAAAACATGGGCCTTAGACTGGTACAATCACACAGGTCTATAAAGATCTCCCCGTCTATCAAATATTGAATCTGATTCCATCCATAGAAACACTCCTCCCTTTCAAAGTAGAAATCCTTTACAAGGCAGCATGTTAGAGCCAGACACTGCAATACAGTAATAGGCTGAAAATTCCAGTGAGTAGATGAGCTTGGGTAATGAGAAGTATGAGACTATCTGGAGAGAATTAACTACAGCTCTAGTTAGAAGGAGTCATGCTCAAAGGATCTTCCCTTTTTGCTTCGTAAGAAGTCGGAGCAGCCAGCAACTTGACCCATCAACATGTTCTCAGCTTCCTCTGTCTGACTGCATTATCATGACCTTATCACAAAACACTCTTTTTTCAAAGGTAATTCCCACAGGGAAAAAGTAAACTCTGAGGAAGTCTTGCTTGAGCCATTATGGAAAGAACATCCAATTGGCTTGAAAGCCTGGTCTACAGTAAGGAACGTGCTTTCAGGAACCCCAGTGCAACCCAGCAGTGCGTTGGTGTACTCACAATCAGATGACCCTGTGTGTGCGTGTAGGTTTGTTGGTGAATGTGGTGAGTGGATGAGGGCCGGGCTCAGAGACGGAACAGCTTCAAGGTTCAGGCAGGGAAGGCCTGGCTTGGCGCTGCATGCACCCGTCTGAGTAATCTCATTCTCCTCAGACGCCTTCTGGTTTTCAGCTGTCTTGGGTTTCTTCCTGAAAATAAACAAAGAGACCTTTGAAGGGACTGGCTGCATATTTGGGAAAAGGCATTTTTAGAATCTGTTAAAGATAACTTTCTTTTTCCCCCTCTCGCCCCCCTCCCTTCTCTCCTTTCCCTTGCAGGGAGGGAGGCAGAGAAGACTTTCCTCCATGCTTCTTGTTTGGAAACAAGCTGCTCCTTGTTTTGACTCTGATGCAATGGCCCTGAGACTGTATTACAGCAAAGAGGCCAAGCACGAAGCTCCTCATTCTGCCCCTACTGATGACATATAAAGCGAAACTCGTCCCAGTGGTTTAGACAGTTGGAGCTCCGTTTGACAAATATTAACCAAGGCTGTAGCGTTCTGAATAGTTATACAGAAACGTAATAGATTTGTCTGAAAAGCAAACAAATATGCAAGTTTCCAGTTCAACACAAATCAGAGAAAAGACTTGATTTGTAGAAAAAAAAGCACTGAAGTAATTTTGAGATTCAGAGGTCATCTCAGTAAAGCGTTAAGTTTTGGAGCCTGAAACAACGTACTCTGACCAAAACGCATGCAAGCCCTCAAGGCCTCCTTCCTCGCAGCATTTTGTAAACACAGGGAATTAGAAGCTGTAAGCAGGTGGTGACTGCTGCATCCATTTCACAATTGGGGAAATTGAGGCACAAAGAAGGGATGTGGCAGGCTTTGATTCACACAGCAGGTCTCCCGCATGGACATCCAGGGGCTCCTTCCCCACACACGCTCTGCTCTCCATGTCCCACCTAGAACAGCCTGTGGCTGACACGCAAGAACCCGGAGTTTTTCAGCCCCCGGGCGCTTACATAAGGGCGTTATATAAGGGAGGCACGCCCGGTCGGGGGCAGGGCCAGGGGCAGGGCCGGGACCCGCCGCCATTTCCCTTCGGCCGCCGTTGGGGGGCAGCAGCTGCCGTGCCCGGCGGTGTCCCTTCGGCCGAAGCTTGGGGAAGAAAGGAAAGGAGGAGAAAGCAAAAGTTAAACGAGCACAAAATAAACAAACAAACCACGTCCCACAGGCCGAGAAGAATCGAAAGGTGAAGGAAAGATGGGGAGTTAAAAAAAGGGGGGGGAAACTGAGGCACGGCAACGAGTTAAGGGCGATGTGCTCACAACGGCGGGGTCCCTAAGCTGCCCAAACGACCCCAAGTGCTCCCTCTTGTCCAGAAAGTCTGCGTTTAGGTCTTGCAGCAGAGATTTTAGGGAAAACAAAGCTGACCGACGAAGCCTCGATGTGTTCTGGAGTAATGGGGCTAAAATTCCTCGCAGCAGATGTACCACAGACAGCGGGCACAGGCTGCTGCATTCTCCACATATATAATCAATATGCTCAAAATAAGATGGGCCAACATCAAATCAGATTTAAACAGTAACAAATAGGAGATGACAAAGTGCACCTTACTTAAAATTGCCAAGGTACAGCTAAGGGTTGAACCGGATTAATTTATCTTGAACAGAAGGAAAATGAAAGCATTCAAAAGCATATTTTTCATGAAGAGTAAACATAGCATTTTTTGTCAATCCAAGCTCTGGCATCCCTCCGTCTGTTTCCCATCCTGTCACCAAGATCCACCTCTTGCTACATAGCTGAGCCTGCATGAGATGCACAGCTTGCATGTGAGCATGTATATTTTAAAGCGTACAGACTGCCTGTGTTTTGTTCATAGCAGTTTGTGTAGCTCCTTGGCATACTAACTCTGCTGACTTCCACTGCACGCCCTCACACGTATCGTGTCCTGACCCCATGACTTTCCCATGTGCACCCAGCACATGCTGGATACTGCAGTGTGTATAAATCAGTGGCTTTTTACAGCATTGCTACCCAAGAGGCTTTCAGATAGCATGGCTTTTGTCCAGGCAGCAAAGGACATACATAGAGTTAGACTCTGAGCGCATTTGGAAGCTCAGCTCCTGTATTTAAGGTCTGTTTGCAGTCCAGTGTTAGCTCAAATTGTATACTTGGAGTATGGCCTCTGGCTCCAGCTCAATCCCCACGCAAAGCTGCTTCCTTTGAGAAGGCAGTGCTGTTATTTGTAGGATAGGGGCTCTGAGCAAGCACTGCTTGTAGGCTGCTAGCACAGCCAGAGTATGTTGTTAGACCTAGCACTGACCAAGGCTGACATTTAATCCATTCTGATCCTGCATCTGCCTCCCAGAACTCGCTTGTACTTGAAATAAAAACGACACCAGTGAGGCTGTGTACAGCATCTCCTGCTTTTTCCTTTCCAAACCTACATATTCCAAACCTACGTCAGATGGTCTTGCACCATCACTTTTCCACATTAGAGCCCTGTAGCATGGTGACTTGGATGGCAGGAGAAGCAGTGTTTCTAGAATGACACTAAATGCAATACCTTTCCACAGCAGCTCTCCATTTCTTTCCATTTAGACATGTGCTGTGCCTCAATACTACCTGAAGGGAATGCAGGCCTCCACATGAGGAAATTTCAGTAAAGGAAAGAGCTTATGAAGAAACTCAAATGTGGTTCTTCCTCTGCAGTCTGCAATGTCAGACTGCAATTGTCAGCTAAAGAAAATAGGTAAAACCAGAAAAAAGGTCCAATTGCTCTAAGTATATTGTTATCCTCTTGTTCTACCTTATCTCCCTTACAAAAGATTCCTATTGTTACGATCTTCACCTATATGTTATAATTAAACATTCATGCATTCATTTACAAAGTCTATATTGCTATCTTATTGCTACATTCTTTACAGGGAGAGTTGTTAAGTACTGGATCAGGCTGACAAGACAGGTTGTGGCATTTCCATCCTTGGAGATTTTCAAAACTTAATTGAACCAGGCCCTGAGTAACCTGATCCAACTTGGAAGTCAGCCCTGCTCTGAGTGGGGAATTGGGCTAGGGACCTCCAGAGGACCCTTCCAACCTAATTTCTTCTCTGATTGCACAGTTCTTCTATGAACACTTCCATCAGTGAGCTCTCTAATAAATCTCTGTGTTCCAGAGGTAAAATGGGACACTAACTGTGGAAGAGTATGACTTGTCTTAGCTATGTGAAAAAAATATAAGAATGAAAGCACAGGGATAGGCATGAGAATGAAGCATGCAATAAAGATTAATTGTGGAACCTTCCCAAAGTACAACTACTTGTCCTTGGACTTCACTGTCAGTCTTGTGTGATTATTTCTGTTGTGAAAGTCAGCCTACCTAATTACTTGAGTTTATCTGAGTATGTCCTCCTCCACAGACTAATCCAAACAAGAAGTTTGCAATATACTTGTTGCTTAGGGCAATGAAAGTTGAAGATACTTGCAAAAAACTTGGGAATTTGCTTTTGGAGCACAGAAATCTGGTCTAACCTTCAGTTATCTCTGAGCTCCTTCTCCACACTTAGGTTCACTACAAGCCCTTCCAAATACTGCGTTACTCCCGAAAACCATCAGAAGGCCATATATCATCTTTGCTTCTTGTGAAGGACAGCAGAAAGCCAACATGGAAAAGAAAGGAAAGGCACGTCCATATATGAAGCTGACGGAAAGACTCCCAGAAGTCATGGACAGAAATGACACTGACCCTCCCAAGATAATCTGAATCTGAAGAGTCACTACAGACATATTTTTTACTGCTGATATATAAGAAGTTTATCCAGCAGTTCTAAACATCCAACCTACTCATCTCTTTAAATTACATCCTATGTTCAGGTACTTTTCTTTTGTTGGTATTCATTTTCAGCATTCCTTTGTTTTTACTGCGTTACTTCTCATTGTGTTCACTTACACCATCTAAAATACATTTTCTTTCTTAACTGCATGCTCTTTAATACTTAATATGAGCTTAACTGCAGCCACTTACATCCCCAAACTAAACTGTGTGCATTAGAGATTTCTACATCTTGTGTAAAACAGGAATCCTTCCCAGCTTTTTATTTCTGTTTCCCAAAACTTCTTGGTCACTGTCTTCACTGCAGTGAGGTATTTCCTCCTTTCCATCTACTTCAATGCTACAGTATCACACACCGAGGTCTCAGATGGGTGACAGATAACGGTGTGACATTTACTGCAGCGATGGCATTGGCTGCAAAGTAGGACAGGATCCTTTCTGCTTAATTTGAAGGCAGAACGTAATGTTTTGGATATCCTAGCCTCAGAGCTATCTGGAAACATTGCCACCACTGAGCTTTGGAATGCCTTTAAAATCCCTGCTAACTTTACCTCTTCTTGCTGCCACTCACTTATGCAGCTTTCTTGCCCCCAGTTCTCCACATGCTCTGCACACGATTTCTTTGCATTGCCCTCGTAACCATTGCTTGAGCTCAGAATGGATTTCCCTGTGATGGGTTATCATGTTCTCACAGCTGAACCCCTAAATCAGGTCCAAACCCCCTAAAACAGGCAACCTATGTTGTAGAGCTGCAAGTGCTTTTCACAGGGTGGCTACCACTAATGATTGAACCTACCCTTGCAGAGAGGGCAGCTTTCTGTCCTAACCACTAGGTTAGCAGTGAACAAATTAGCTCAGGTCTTGGATCCTGTGTAGCTGTGCAGAACACACAGTAGTATCCTGGCTCTCAGGGGAAGCTATGATAATGTGACTGTATGAGAATAATGCTACATAATGAACAATAATGAGGCAGTTTTCAGCCTCTGAATACAGGGGGGGCTGGGTCACTAACCAGACCTTTGTTCATCGCATACTAAAGAGCATGGAGGGAACATGCCATAAGGTTGCTGATGTTACAAGTGTTGCTGCTGGTTGAGTTTGCCCATCCATATCCCTGGCATTATATCTCTTAACAGATATGACATCACCTTCCAGTAAGTGCCCTCAGGTCAGAGATGCCTTTAGTGCCCAAGCCAGGTACTTAACTCACTGGTGTCTCTAATCTTAGTAATTCACACAATCTATAATTTTAAAACCCTAG